ACGCTGACGAGCCTCACGCTGAAGATGTGGAAGACGCACCACTGCTACGTGGGTGTGACATTCAGCGGCGTGGGTGCTGTGCTGAAGTTCTTCCTCAACAGTATGCCGCTGCATCTCCCCATCAACATCACGTTTACTGGATGCACATTCCTTTACGGGGCTGTGCTGCAGTTTGTTGGGGGTGCTGAGGCGGCCGAGTCATCCGGCGTCTTGATCCGCGTGAGCCAGACGGTGATGCGGTCCTATGTTGTTGTGTTTGCACTTGCCCTCCCGCAGCACTGCGACATTGCCGTCACGGAGGTTGATGCGGTGCAGTCCTCCGAGGTCCAGCTGCCGCACATTATGAGCAACATGCTGAGCGTCGTGTTACTGCAGACCGTTGTTTTAAGCGCGTCTTCGCTGTTGGTCAGCAACGCCAGGGCGCGTGCAACGAAGTATGGTGCGTTTGGTTTTTACTCTACCGGGACGCTGAAGCTGGTGGGTGGCAGCTCGCTTTATGTGCGGCACTGCAGCTTTGATGGATACATGCATCTGTTGTAAATGTACAGGCTCAGTGTGAGTGGCCACTCTGTTTTTGCGCTGCTCAACAACACAATGTCCTCCGGGACAAGCCTGCTGTGTCAGCAACAAGAGTTCAGCGTGTCGGAACACAGCGTGTTGCGCGTGGTGGGGAACAGCGGCTCCGTGTCCAACGCCATATATTCACCAAGCTTTTTTACCGTCCGCCATTCAAGCTGGCTGGATTGGCGTGACAACGACGTGGAAGTGGGTGTGTTGTTTCATTACTCCATAATAACTACTGTGAACATCGACGGCAGCAGTGTGGTGGCGCTGACGGGCTGCAAGATGGGCTCGACGGGTTTGTCGGAGCCTTTGCTATCGCAGGCTGACGCCGGCTACCGGTTTGTTGCTGGGTGTCTGACGGTCGCGGGACGGGAGGTGACGACGGCGGCAGAGCTGGCGCTCCAAGGCATTACCAACGTGACGACGGTTGCAGTGTGCGGGAAGTGCACTAAGGACGGCGACTGCTTTGCTCCTCTGACGACGGCTGTCAGCGACTGCAATTGCCAGTGCGCTGCTGGAGGGCACGGCGATGTGTGTCTCCCGGCGCCTGTGCCTGCTGGCCCGCCACCACCAATGCTGCTCCCACCGCCACCGCCGCCGGTTGGTGAGTGCATCAGCGACATGGTGTACCCCGAGGTGGCGCAGACTGTGGGCGGCGGGCTGTCGTGGCTGTGCTACCGCAACGTGACGTTCAGCGGGGGCGGCATGAGCCTGACGGTGCTGATTGGGGCGATGACGGGCGACGTGGTGAACGTCACGTTCGATGGATGCACGTGGAGGGACGGCGCCGTGCTGTTGCTGTTGGGCAACGCGTACGCCGCTGTGGGGTCGCTGAACATTGTCGTCACCGGCAACACGTTCCGTGACGCGCTGCTCAGCCCGGAGGGTGTGTTTCCACCGCACACGAACATCACGATCAGCGGGAACCGCTTCACGGCCACAAGGCTCCTCCCTCGGCCGGGTTTGGACCTTGGCAGCCCGTCGTGTGTCGCGATGAATGGGCTGGCGATCAGCAACGACTCTGCGGTGGTGCTCAGTGGCAATGTGTTTCAGACCGTGACGGCATCTTCAAACGTCATTTACTTTGTTGAATCTGCGCTGAGGGTGTCGTGGCGCTCCCTTTTTGCGGTGGTAGGCAACACGTTTCATATGGAAGGCGCTAACAGTAATTTGATACATCTTGAGGGGTCTAGCCAGTCATTTTCACTGATTGTACTGAACAACTCTGCCGTGGTGATCCGAGGCAACCTTGTGCTGGGGGAGTTAGAGCACTTCATGCTATTTCTTTGGGCCTTACGTGTGGAGTCCCAGTCAGCGGTCGTGTTTCAGGACAACGAAATGCGGGGAAGCTTGGCTGTGTTTTACTCAACTTTTGCCGCCAACATCTACTACAACTCCTGGCTGCAGTTGAGCGGCAACCTCTGCCGTGAATCCCCATCGGATGCGTTTACTTTATTTGACCCCAAAGTGAATCTCCGCGACTCCACGGTGTCTGTGTCCGGCAACCAATTCATTTCCAGCAGGGGAACGCCGAGAGTGCTGCAGATATATGCAGGTTGCCGCGATATCACAAACGGAGCGATTGTGGCTGCGTGCAACACTGTGAACGGCGAGGAGGCGGCGGGATCCAGCATTCCGTCCGTGTACAATGCCACCATCCTGAGCTGCAGCGACCCATGCACCCTTGCAGCGTCGTGCTTCCCTGCGTACACGACGACGGCCTCGAGTGATGGCTGTGCCTGCACGTGTGCGGAGGGTGGCCACGGCGATGCGTGCCTGCCCGTTGCTGTTCCCGAGCCTTCAAGCACTGACGGTGCCGACTTGTGCGTGCGTGATGTGCGTGTGGATGTGGAGGTGAACGCCGGTTTTGGGACGTCGGTGCTGTGCTACGTTGGTGTGACCTTTGCGGCGGATTTCGTGGTGGAAATGGAGTCGATGTCGGGGAGCGTGCGCAACGTGACGCTGGCGAACTGCATGTTTGTGGGCGGAGCGAGCCTTTACGTTGTTGGGTGGCTGTCCGACCCGCCTGCTGGCGAGCGCGCCGATGTGTTGATCAGCGGGCTTGAGTCGCGCTCCGGCGGCGGCGTGATGGTGGCGAACCGATTTCCGCCGGGCTCGCGCGTCACTGTGGTGGACTCGGTGCTGATTGCAGAGGCGCGTGTTGTGTACCGCGGCGCCTACGACCTTGGCGACGCCTCCGCGTGCCTCGTGTTGCACAACGTGAATCTGACGGGGAGTGTGCTGACCATCGCGCGCACGCAGGTGGCGGCTGTGTTCCGCGACGCTGTTGGCGTGCTGGTGGTTGGCGGCGTGGCTCTGTCGTTGCGCGGTGCGCTGTACGTGGACGGGCTGTCGCTGCGATGCTGTGGTTATGTCCGGCGGCTGCAAGGGTGTGCTGCTTGGGTCCTTCACCATCGCGTCGAACACGCTGCCCGCCGCTGCCAGCGTCCTCTCGGCGATCACCGGCGTTGTTGCGGGTGCGACGGCTGTTGCCGTGGTGGTGACCGGCGGGCTGGGCTCCATCCTGGAGATGCAGGCGCTCGGCGTGTTTGCGAGGATGTCATGTGCCTCGGCGCAGGAGCGTGCGAGCACCGCTGCGCTGCCGTACTTCCTGTCGGTGTTCGCTGCCCTTGACCCGCTGTGGATGGTGGTGGGCAACGCGCTGCTCGCCGCTGTGTTCGGGTGCGTGCACTGCGGTGTGACGGCCGCCTTCCAGCGGTGGCGCGGCGTAGACGCGGCGAGTGCGTGGGCGGCGATGCGCTTCCCGAGCCTGACGTACGTCGTGGCGCACGCGATGCACCCCGGCATCTTCTTTGGCTCCGTGTTTGCACTGACGATGCCCGTCGCCCGCGTGCAGCACCACGTGGTTGGTGTCGTTGGCGTGCTGTACGGTGTGGCGTTTCCTGCTGGTGTGTGCTACTTGATTGCTCGCCACGTGGGCGCGAGCTTCACGAAGTACTGGCAGTTTTCGAGGAAGCCGCTGCACGAGCGCCTGCTGTACCCCGTCGGGTATTGGTATCCCGCAGCGCAGCAGCGGATGTACGGCGGCATGCTGACGAACATGAGGGGCAGCCGCGTGTACTGGTGCGTGTTCCAGCTGTCGGTGCTGTGTGTGGTGTGCCTGATTGCGGCTGTGCACCCGCCCGTGGGAGGCTGCCACGTCCAGTACTTCTGCATGGCGGCTGTGCTGCTTGCGGGTGCGGGCGTGGTTGCCTTCACGAACATGATGCGCTCGGCCCTCCTGACGCTGTTGCAGACTGCGAGCTTTGTGCTGCTTGCGGCGCTGTGCCTGATCAGCGCGGCCAACCATCTTGCGCCGAGCGACGGCGGTGCGAGGGCGTACGTGGCGATGGTGCTGCTGCTGACCACTGTGCTGCTTGCGGTCGCTGTGTACAGCATGGTTGTGTGGTATGCGGAGGACCGCCACTGGCAGGAGCTGCGCGAGCCGCGGCGTGGAGGGCTGGAGGCGCTGCTGCGCGATGACGAGGAGAGCGACGAAGAAACGCAGAAGCCGCACGACATGACGTCATCGTTGTACGCCTCAGGCACCACCGTTGTGTTGTCGTACCGACCACCCGCACCGCCGCTGCAGCTCATGGCCGGTGACACCCGCTCCGACGCCCTGAGTCTGCTTGACCGTGCATCTAGTGCGAGCTGCGGCATTAATCATGCCGCTCTGGACAGATGAAGGTGCTTTGCTTGACGAAACATTTAGCGCAGTTTCTTTTTTAGGTGTAAGGGCTCCGACCCAACAGTACCGTTACGCGGCGAGAAGACACAAGGCCCCTCGCAGATGCGGCATGACGCAGATGCGTCTGGCAGGCATCTTTTCTCTTTTTTTCATAGGAGCTTGTGAAAAGAATGATCGCGGTAGAGCTGGCTAACTTAATTAATGTATGTACATCCTGATAAATGAATGCATTCTTTATGGTACTCTCTACCGTATGAATCTTTTGGGAAGAACGCGACTTTGTAGGGGCAGGGAGCCGATGGAGGCCAGATAATATTTGTTTTTATTTTGCCATCCCACCCACCCCCTTTTGATTCCCACCATGCGGCAGGGTCTTGTGGCTGGAGGACCACAAAGTCTGCCATTTCTTCAGTAAATATATTAGATCCTATCTGAGTACAAAAGGCTGCGTGAACGGCCAAAAGAATATATAAATATATATATTATCAGGAGAAAACATGTAGTAAATTAACTTCGTATGTGTTGCCCCCTTTTCCTATGTTGTTTGGTTTCTTTACATAATTTCAGGATCCAGCCAGCGGTCAAGAAGATTATTCGAGTTCAATATTTACTCTACCCTGTGTGGATGACTGAATTATTGTGGCTCTCTGTCTTGTATGTGCATTTTTTTATCCCTCTCATACCTTTCTTTGGGTGGTTATTGTTCAGCTTTAACTCAATCCAACTAAGAAAACAAGGAGAAACGATGTCTGGAAGGCCCGAGGAAGGAATTTACGATAATGAGGAAATTCAAGCGCCTACTGTCCCGCAGGGAGATTGGAGGAGAGCGAGGTCGGACTTTGAGGGTGACACAGATCACTCCTCTACGACTCGCAGAAGATTGGAGGAAATGCATCGACCAAAGTGGACCATGAACAGCAGCGTAGAGGACATCCTGCTGGAGGGAAGCACTAACAGGAACAACATGAAGCTAAATGATTTCCTTCGGAGCAACTTGGGCGAGGAGTGGGTTGTGGAAAGAAATAGGAACGTGACGATGGAGGCGTTTGTTCAGGAGCCGGATGCCTACGTACAAGACCAGCGGCTTCTTAGAATTATTTTTAATTTAACAGAGTACCAGGTGTACAAGCTTCATCACGAGGGTGAGTTCTTTCTCGAGCAATGGAGGGACTATGAAGGAAAGGATACGGTCACTCCTCTTGTAAGGGAAAAACTAAACAGAGTTCTCATTCAGGTGCTGACAGAAGAAAGGCGTGAGGCGGAAGAAAGGGCGAGGTGGGACCAGCAACAGGTAATATTTAACTTATCTGCTAAGATCGAAGATTTGTTGTTTGGAGGAAGAGTTCGCGTCATGGAAATAAAGCTGAACGATTTTCTTACGAGGGAATTTGACGGAAGAGGCATTTTGCGCGCCAATCGGAGTGTCTTACTGAGGGATTTCTTTGGTGATCCCACGAGGTATATCCGCGATGCGGGAGTATTGAACGAAATACAGGCAACAGGTGCTTATGCGAGGATGGAGAGGACTGTGAGGGAGGAAATGGATATGGAAGAGGTTGTACGCAAGCTTCATCACGAGGGTGTGTACTCTCTCGATCAATGGAGGGACTATGAAGGAAAGGATACGGTCACTCCTGTTGCAAGGAGAAAACTAAACAGAGTTCTCACTCAGGTACTGAGTGAAGAAAGCCGTGAGGCAGGAGAAAGGGCAGTGCGGGAAAAACAAGTAGGATTTACCCTAACTACTACAATCAGGGATGTGCTATTGGGAGGAAGAGTTCGCGTCATGGACATAAAGCTGAATGATTTTCTTACGAGGGAATTTGACGGAAGAGGCATTTTGCGCGCCAATCGGAGTGTCTTACTGAGGGATTTCTTTGGTGATCCCACGAGGTATATCCGCGATGCGGGAGTATTGAACGAAATACAGGCAACAGGTGCTTATGCGAGGATGGAGAGGGCTGTAAAGG